AGACAAAAAATCCAGGAAGCGGTCTCCCCGCTTTCCCCATTCTTTGTCTGCGACATCCGGGCATTCTCTGCCCTTCCGATGTTAGCTTTGTCTAATCAGCAAAACGACCCTAGCTGATAGGAGATGCAATTGTCGACATCGTTGACAGATAACCAGAAAGCCCGGAACGACCACCTGAATAAAAATGGATGTGTTCCATAGGCTTCATTGAATGTGATGCAGTTTCTATTGCGATTTTCACTAATTAATTGTAATCACTACTTAGTTAACTAGGAGTAGTATATACTGAAAGTAATAGAAAGTAACCTTTGAGGAATTTGTACATGTAATATGTCCGGCTTTTAAGCGGGCTTACGGCATCACAACCGAAATTCGATATAAAAGTTGCCTTTGTCTACTTGTTTGTGGCACACTAAAATATATCCCTAACTCGTAATGATACTTAATTCATCATACTCCCTTAATTCCACTATTTAGGCAATAGTAATTCCGCCCAAGTGACCTCAGCACTATTCCCAAAGGCGAAAAGCTATAGCTACCTTAGTGATGCTAATTGGCCTGGCAACGCTCACCCATCAATCTAGTCACTGCCTTGAAGGATGATCAACGTGTTTTTAAGCGATTTGGACTGATTTATTCGTCTAAGCCAGACCTCTACAGTAGTGAGCCGTGAAACCGAAAAAGGCGTAAAGACGAAGTCAAAGAAGGCGGCTTTTTGCCTTATCCCGTCCCATATCCTTCTAGCCTAGTCAGCTTATTTGGTGGAGCCCACTTAGCACATATGAACATTTTCAAGTCGAGACAGCCTAAACGTCTGATCCACCGGCCCTCCAGAACATGATCCAGGTTGAATGCGACGTTTATCTCGAAGGTGGGTGTTAAAGGCTCCTACGGTGATTATTTCAATCAAGGAGCTATATTGAATAAGGATAAAAGTAATCGTAAGTAAGAGCCTTTCGGGGGATATTGTTGGGGTGACTTCTCTGTACTTTTAACACACTCATCATCAGCATAACCAGTCGTGTGTCTGACCTTGCGCAATCGGGATGATGATTAAAACATATATAGAGAGAGGAGATGATGGCAATAATCAAACCTTGATGACCAAAAACTGACATCATTTTTGTCTTCCTAATTACTTTGAACCATCACGACTGGTTTCGTACATATGCGAACCCATGCAGGCACATACACATACACATACAGACACAATCACATGCTTCGAGGCTGATATATGACTGAAATTAACCAAATCACTTTATACCTCATCAAAGAGACCAGCTTTTTAGAGATGGGCTGGAGAGTTTTCTTGGCTGGTTAGCTTGAATTTGGTTGTAAGGATGATACCTTGCTCTGATGATGTTCGTCATACGACGGACGAAAGCTTAGCACGTTTTCACCGGAATCGAAGAAGATTGCCTCGGAAGCAGAGTCAACAAGAATTCTCCAGTGAAGCCAAGCAACAGCTGGTCACGAGGAATCTGCTGTTGCCTTCTAGTGGGATCAACCTTTAAATCTCTTCAGCAAACACCTTCACTTGAAATGGAAATAAACTCAATAATTATGAAACATTAGATCCCTAGAAACCCAAATTTTCTTCGCACATTGTTTGGGACAGACATACGAACTGAAAGCCTCCCCAGCTATGTTATCCCAAAGGATTTATCGAAACCCAGTTAATCTTCGTAATTGTTGAGCTTACTTCCATTTCGAGTGGAAGTGTTGGGTGAAGAGATTCGAAGGTCGGTTCCA